CTAATCTGGCGTTTGCCTGAGACTATCCGGCAAATGCCTCTGTGCAGGGCTTGGGCAGGGCGGGTGGGTCGCACAGGATCAACAGGGTGGGCCGGAGAGAGCAGTTATGGCGGCTCTCAGTCCTGTCCCCAGGGTCTCTGCCTCTCTGAGTCCCAGCACCCGCTGCAAACCTCGGAGAGAAAGCTGCACTCCCTCTGACCGAAGCCAGACAGTCCCGCTTCTCCCGTTTGAGTCTGGGTCCCTAAAGACTCGCCTGTATCTGGAGCTCAGAGTCTGCGACTCCCTCCCGATTGAAAACGCCAACCTCGCCCTCCGCCGCCAGCCTGCTCTGCGCACTCCGCACCTCAGAATTTGACTTCAGCACTGCGCCTCCTCTGAGTGTCCGTATGCGTTTCTCTTTCCTCCTAGTTGTAGGACTTCCACTCAGCCAGCATTCCTGTGGTTCTGGGTGATGTCCGTTCTGTCTTTTAGTTTCACTTTTGAAGTAGTTGTTCAAGGCAGCAAACTCTGGCGTTAACCTATGCCGCCATCTTGGTTCTCCTCTCAGAATGGATTTAAATGATCTATTTCTTCAAATAGGTTTTCAATATCTTGCTCTCTCTCATCTTCTGGCACCCCTATAATTCTGATGTTGGTACGCTTGAAGCTGTCCCAGAGGCTCCTTACACTATCTTCGTATTTTCGGATTCTTTTTTCATTTTGCTTTTCTGGTTGGGTGTTTTTTGCTTCTTCGCATTTCAAATCTTTGCCTTGATTCTTGCGCTCCTCTGGTCTGCTGTTGGGAGTCTGTATAGTATTTGTTATTTCAGTCCGTGTATGCTTAATTTCTAGTTGGTTCTTTATCATAACATCGAGGGTCTCATTAGATTTCTTGAGGATCTCACTACATTTATCGGCGGCTTCTAAACAGTTCTTGAGAGACCTTAAAAGTGTGGTTCCGAACTCAATATCCTCCATTGACAGTTTTGTCCTGTTTCTTTGTCTCCACATTTTTTATGCTTTCTTGGTGCACCCCCTAGTGGTCTTTGTGCGCAGTCTTGTTGTAGTTAAGCCTTGATTGTTGTCGGCAATACCGGGATGATTTGACCTCCAGGCGACCTGGCTATGAGAGTCAGCTCGTCTTTTCATTCTCTTGACAGTGTCTTTCCTAGAGCAGACAATTTTAATTATAATGAAGTCCAGCTTATCAATTCTTTCATGGATCATGCTTTTGGTATCACATCTAAAAAGTCATCACCAAACCCAGGGTCATCTACCGTTTCTTTTATGTTATCTTCTAAAAGGCTTATAGTTTTGCATTTTACATTTAGGTCTCTGATCCATTTGAGTTAATTTTTATAAAGATTGTAAGATCGTATCTGCAGCCAGTTTTTTGCATATGGATGTCCAATTATTCTACCACCATTGAAGAGAACATCTTTTTTTCCACTGTATTATCTTTACTCTTTTGTCAAAAATCAGTTGACTAAATTTATGTGGTGGATTTCCAGGCTCTCTATCCTGTTATATTAATTTATTTGTCTATTCTTTCGCCAATACTATATTGTTTTGGTTATTATAGCTTTATAGTTAGTTCTGAAGTTGAGTTGTGTCTGTTCTCCAACTTTGTTCTTCTTTTTCCATATTAAGTTGGCTATTTTGGATCTTTTGCCTTTCCATAAAAACTTTAGCATCAGTTTGTTAATATCTACAAAATAACTTGCTAGGATTTTGATTGAGATTGCATTTAATCTATAGATTAGATTGAGAAGAGCTGGCATCTTGACAATATTGAATTTCTATCCATGAACATGGAATTTCTCTTCATATATTTAGTTCTGTGCTTTGATAGCATCTGTATAGTTAATGGCTTTAATCTCCTCCTCCAAATACAAAGACTTTAGAATACCTTAATTCTACAAATGCATTAGAACATTTTCACTCAAACCACTCTCTCCCAAATTATATGCTATTTCCGCCCAGAATTTTAGTTCTTCTTAAACACACAATTAGAGATGGTGATGATGATGATGATGATTGTATATAGTCAAGTGTTTGTTTATATTTCTCCATATGTTTATAATTTTTGTTGCTCACTTTTCCTTCTGACACCTTACATTGTTCTTCTGAACTAATTTTTATTCTTTTTTTAAAATGTATTTTTATTGATTTCAGAGAGGAAGGAAGAGGGAGAGAGAGATAGAAACTTCAATGATGAGAGAAAATCATTGTTTGGCTGCCTCCTGCATGCCCCTACTGGGGATCGAGCCTGCAACCCAGGCATGTGCCCTTGACTGGAATCAAACCCGGAACCCTTCAGTCCACAGGCCAACGCTCTATCCACTTAGCCAAACCAGCTAGGGCTCATTTTTATTCTTGAAGTGTATCTTTTTAAGTTCTATCAGTCAAGGGTCTATTGGTGGAAAGTTCTATCTGAAAATGCCTATTTTCCTTTTGTTTTCAAATAAGCATTTCTCTAGATATAAAATGTTACTTATTTTCTCTTAATATTTAGAAGACATCAATGAATGTTTATTGGCTTCTGTTTTTATGCAAGTCAACAGTTTATCATTCTTTGTCTTTTCTCTCTGCCTTTATGATTTCTTTGTCTCTAGTGTTCTGCGATCTCACCACAAAGCTATCTAAATATAAATTTCCTTTTATTTTTATTGCATGGGATTTGTTGGGCATTCTGGATCTGACAATTTATGTCTATACTAGTTAGAACTCGATTAAGCACATGTGTCAGAAATCTCAAAATAAATAGTAATTTGTAAAAGAAGATCATTTCTCACATATACGTAGTTAGATGCTAGACAATATTTGGCTGTTACAGGTCTTTTACCTCATTACTCTACTGCCCTATAGCCCACGACTTCCCTTCTCAAGGTCCAAGTTAGCTTCTGGAGATCCAGCCCTAACATCTGCATTATCGTAAGTCATATGGTGCAAGGGAAGGAGGGCTTGCTCTGTTTTCCATAAGGATTCTTCCCAGAAGTCTTAGACATTTCTTTTTATATTTCAGTTCCCAGAATTTAGTGCATGGCCACACCTACATGCAAAGGAGGTTGGAAATTATGCAACTTTAGTAGGTGACATTGCAACCCCAAATAAATCTGTGGTTCTGGCATAAAGAAGAGAAAAACAATAGTTGTTGGGATAAACAACCAACAATCTTAATATAGTCCAATTTATTATTTGTCTCCTTTTCAGTTAGTAATTTTTGTGTCATGTTTAAAAATAGTTGCCTACACCAAGTATTATCCTAAAAGATTATTTTTTAACCTTTCACATTTAGATTTATAGTCCACCTGGAATTGATTTTTGTGAATGATTTATTTTGTCAGGATGTATTTTGTCCCTTTGGCTATTCGATTGCTCTAGAAAAGAACATCTTTTCCTCTTGTCTCCCGCTGTATTGCAGGTGACGCCTTTGTCATCAATCAGGTGAACATATATGTGTTGATTTGCATTCCCCTGATGACGAATGATGTTGAGAATCTTTTCATGTGCTTATTGGCTATTTGTATATCTTCTCTGGAGTAATGGATAGTCAGATTCTTTGCCCATTTTTTAAAATTAGGTTATTGTCACATTATTACTGAGTTGTAGAAGCTCTTTATATATTCTAAATCAAGTCCTTTATCAAACACCTTATTCGCAAAGTTTTCTCTCATTATTTCTGAACTGTCAATTCTATTCCATGGATCTGTCTACTGTTGCACCAGTACCCACACTGTCTCGATTACTGCAGCTTTATAGTAAGTTTTGAAATTAGAAAGCGTGAGTGCTCCACTTGGTTCTTCTTTTTTATTAGTTGGCTATTCTGGGTACAATTGGTTTTGGTGTATTACCTTTGTGTCCCTCATCCTTGCTAAATTTATTTAATTTTTAAAAAATATGTATTTTATTGATTTCAGAGAGGAAGGAAGAGGGAGAGATGGAAACATCAATGATGAGAGAGAATCATTGATTGGCTGCCTCCTGCATGCCCCCTATTGGGGATCGAGCCCACAACCGGGCATGTGCCCTGACTGGGAATTGAACCATGACCTCCTGGTTCATAGGTTGATGCTCAACTACTGAGCCATACCAGCCAGGTTAAATTTATTTAATTTTAATAATCCGTTTAAAAATTCTTTTGTATTTTTTTTAATCCTCACCTGAGGATTTCTAGAGAGAAGGGGAGGGAGGGAGGGAGGAAGAGAAGAAGAGAGGGAGGGAAAAAGAGAGAGAGAGAGATGTTGATATGAGATAGTATTGATTGGTTGCCCTCCATCTGTGTCCCGACCATGGATTGCGCTATAACCTAGGTATGTGCCTTGACTGTGAATTGAACCTGCAACCTTTTGGTATACAAGATGATGCTCCAATCAATTGAGCCACACGGGCCAGGGCTCTTTTGAATTTTCTATACACATAAATGTATCATCTACAAAAAACAACACATATTTCTTCCTTTCTGTTTGGCCAATCTTAATAGATTCTCACTTCTCTGTCACACTTCTCAGTCTCTTTTATTTTTTTAAACATATTTATTTTCTATATGTATCCAATCATTTCATATCTATTGTCCTTGGGGGTCTGATTCTGTATATTGTTGTTTCTGCTGACTCTAACTCATGGTGGCTCTTCTCTTTAAATATTTATGATTTCTTTCTTGTTATCACATATTTCTCAGTGTTTTATCTGTTGTGATGTTTTGAGGTGTGAGTTGGGCATGTGCTCCTCTTAGGAGGACTTGCATTTCTTCTGCCAGGTGCCTGAGGTACTACCAACCTGGTACTCTTATACACTAAATGTTTAGCTTTGGATTTGTAATTACATAAGGAGTGTGAATTCCAGCCCTGAAAACACATGTGAGTAGGCTTATGATTAGGAATTAGTAGAGGAGATCTTTTTTCCATTTAACTCACAGCCAAGACCTAGACAGAACTTTGAGTGTGGGATGTTTTTTGTTTTGTTTTCTTTCAGAGGCACTGGCCTGAGGAGTCCTTGATCCTACCTTTTATCCCACATAGGTCCCAGAGTTTGGCTCCTGTTCCCAGCTCTAGGCCCCCTAGGGATTGGCAGATATCTTCAGGGTGAGTTCTGACTTCAGCATTTGCTTACCTCTGTATTTGAGTTTTCTCAACTTGGGCCTCTGAGGATTTCCCTTGCTTTCACACTATTAACTGTTAGGGTCCTCAAAGAAGGAATGCACGAGGCTGAAAGTGGTAAAGAATTATAAATTTATTAGGTCATCTGGAAACCATTCGGGGAATCAGAGATTTTAAAGGACTCCAGGCGGGCTTTCTCTGTGCGGGGAATTCCCTGGGTGAGTCCAGATCCTGGGCAAATCCGGAGAGGAAAGTTACTGGTCTTAGCAAATGGAATGTGATCTAAGCGAAAGGGAATGTCAATTGCAAAATGACCTAAAGGTCAGTTTCCTAGGGAAGGGGGTATCAATTCTATTATTTGATCAAACCTAACATTAGCCCTACATTTTAAAAGCTGTTTTTTAAAAAAATATTGTATTCAGTATCTATGAGTACTCTTCATTTTCAAGGTTTCTCTGACATCTCTGCTGGGAATAAGCACTTCTGGGTGGCTGCTCCTCGACAAATTCAGCTCCAGGCTGATCTGAGCATGTCCCAAACTGTCAGCAGGCTAGAGCTAGTCAAAAAGGCCTATTGCACAACAGATTTACTTAAATATATATATATATATATATATATATATATATATATATATATATATATATATATATATAGATTTCAGAAAGGAAGGGAGAGGGAGAGAGACATCAATGATGAGAGAGAATCATTGATCGGCTGCCTCCTGCACACCCCCTACGGAGGATCGAGCCCACAACCCAGGCATGTGCCCTTGAGCATAATCGAACCCGGGACCCTTCAGTCTGCAGGCCAACGCTCTATCCACTGAGCCAAACCAGTCAGGGCTACTATTTAATAAGATAGTTGTGGTTGAGCCGAAACCAGTTTGGCTCAGTGGATAGAGCGTCGGCTTGCGGACTGAAGGGTCCTAGGTTCGATTCCGGTCAAGGGCATATACCTGGGTTTCGGGCACATCCCCAGTAGGAGATGTGCAGGAGGCAGCTGATTGATGTTTCTCTCTCATCGATGTTTCTAACTCTCTCTCTCTCCCTTCCTCTCTGTAAAAAATCAATAAAATATGTTTTTAAAAAAAAAAAAAAAAGATAGTTGTGGTTGAGCATAGAATTTGTTCCTTTCTGATACAGTTCATACAGAGAATTTGACGGTGATCAGTTGCTCTTGACTGGAGGTAATTTTGCACCTTTCTTCTGCCCAGAGGACATTTGGCAAATATCTGAAGGCATTTTTTGGTTTTCACAGTCAAGAAGGGGGTGCCACTGGCATCCTGGGAGAGGGGCCAAAGGTACTGCTAAACATCCTACAATGTCCAGAACACCCGATACATAGACAGGAAAGGTTATCTGGCCCCAAGTGTCAATAGTGTCAAGATTGAGAAACCCTGGACAATAATTACAATGCCTTTTTTTGTTTTGTTTTGTTCATCCTCACTGGAGGATATTTTCCCATTGATTTTATTATATTTTTTAGAGAGAGTGGAAGAGAGGGGGAGAGACACAGAGAGAGAAACATCGATGTGTCTCATATCGATTGGTTGCCTCCTGCACGCACCCAGATCAGGACCAGGGATGGAGCCTGCAAACAAGGTACATGCCCTTGGCGGTCAAACCCAGGACCCTTCAGTCTGAGGGCCGATGTTCTGTCCACTGCATGAAACCAGCTAGGGCTAAGTCTCAAGTATAGGGATGACTGCTTTTTTTTTTCCTCTAACTCTTTTGGCTTAGATATAAAAATTTTAAACGTTTGTCAAAAATTAATGAAAGAGAATCAACATTCTCTTTCATGCTACCATCTGTTGAACATCTTTTCTGCCTCAGGCACAGTGCTAAGTATATTAATGAAGACAATAACATTTATTTCATCATATTCTCCAGAACTTTAGTGTTTTGGGTCAAAGGTGGACATAAAGGCTTCAGAGTAAATGATAGGTGCATTGCAATTTTCAAGTAAACTATGCAATTCAAAGCAGAAACCGTTTGTATTGAGTTTCTAGGCATGAAAGTATGTATTATTTCAAAGCTGGATTTTAGTTTGATCAACATGTCACAGTGTGGTTGACATGACCACATACGGAAACACAAGCCTGGCATTCCCCCTTCAGCGCCGTGACTCAGGCTGCAGATAGCAAGCACTCCAGTGATCACTCTCTGGGCCTCCATTGCAGATTCTGCCTGTCTCAGCCTGTGATGTCTTCCTTGCCGGGCCTCCCTTTCAGGGAAAGGAGAATTGCTTAAGACTTAAAAACTTGCTCAGCAGCGTCAAGCCCCCTTGCCTAGTAAGAAAGGACAAATCTTCACAAACATAAGGCCATTTGACTTGAAGAGTCCCATCCCACAGGACTGTCCGGGGCAGGGGACAGGGATGCTGACTGCTAGCCTCGATCCTGCTGCTGCTGTTGTCTCATTCTCCAGGCCCCTCGTTCTCCGCTGGACTGGCTGTCCTCCCTGAGCCCCGTGGCTTCCCCGCCTGGTGAGCAGGTCTGCCCGGTTGTGGTTCCTCCTGGGACTCCCACTGCCACCAATGGGGCCACATCCTGCTGAGTCCCTAAGGAGGGCCCCATTCACAGAGAAGGGCTTACTCTGTACTTGGGCAAAATATGTTTGACAATCATAAAAAACCTAGAAGCGGGCAAGGCAACCTTACCCCATCCCCTGAGGACTGGGATAATGGTTGAAGTACAATAACTAGTGCATCACGGACCACAACTGATCACTCCAAGGGACCAGTGTCTCAGGCTCCCTTTAGTTGCTGGATCTGAGAAGGCCCAGGAGAGGGGCCTGAGCTGCAGGGGGCGTGGCCTTCAGGGGCTCCTGACAGCAGGTGTTTAGCAGCGGGTACAGAAGCTTTTCAATACCAGTAGGGCCATCGTGGTGCATCCCAGCTGTGTGCATTGTTTATTCTACCAATGACTTCCGTGAAGTGACCAGCGACAGCAGTCACTGGCAGGATTATACAGAACTGGAGTGGGTTAAATGACTGAAAAGACAGCTTGTCTGCTAGTTGCCTAAAATAACATTACTGGTGGGTATCAGCAAACTATGCGTGATCAAAATGGGGAGAGGGACAATCAGCCCCCAGCAACATTTCCCTGTAACCTGGGGTTTGAGAAGCACCGGGGGCTGTGGGTACTGGTTTCTGTCCTCCAACTCTGTGGTGCCTTCAGAATCTCATGCTTTGTCTGGGGCTAGAGATGTGCTCTTCCTGACCAATATGTCACAATCTCTTCAGACCCACGGTCCGAGGGCTTGGACAAGCCCTGCGTCTCAGCAAGGGACCATCATGGAACAATAGTTGAGTGTGTGTGTGTGTGTATGTGTGTGTGTGTGTGTGTGTGTGTGTGTGTGTGTTTCTGTGCTGTGTGCCATGGATATGGTATATGAGTGTGGTTGGGTGTACATGCCTCTGTGCACATGTTAAGAAAGTGCTGAGGCAAGTAGTCTTAATGAGACTGAGAAGATGGCGACCAGAAGAAAAGAGAATGGAGGGGACCTTTAGCCAAGCCCTTGAAGTGCATTGTACATGATCATACCAGGAGCCTGGCTAGGCCACTCAGCAACTCACAGCACCCAGCGATGGTCCCCCCTGATTGGGGGGGACCCCTGCCGCTGCCCCTGCAGGGTGGGAAGGAAAACACATTTCAAAGAAAATTTGGAATGGGGGTAGGAGCTCTTTGTTCCTTTGCAGCTTATGCACAAATTGTGTATATGTGTGGCGAGTGGAGGGGGGGAGAGGGGGGGAGGAGGTATTTTGTTTTGTTTGTTTTTTTAGTAGAGCTGTATCGAAAGAGCTTGCCCCATTGAGCATGTAGGAGAAAACTCACGGCCTGTGTCAGTCCCAGGCCACATTAAACAAAGCAAGGCCTTCAACACAAGGAAGATTTTTGCCCTTCCTGCCAGAGACAGGAGCTTGGGGATTACAAAGGATTTGAGTCAAGGGAGTATGATAATGAACATCCGGTTCTAGGAGTCCCGAGGCTCTGGATAGGTTGTAGGAGTGGCAGCAAATGCCTTGCCCGAGGTCACAGCACTGTTTCTGGTTGAGTGTCTGCAGGACCACAGATAGCTTTATTGGTCAGTGAAGGTTATTGGAAGGGCAAAGTTTCTCTTCAAGCTTCCGGACTCCCAAGTCCAGAGCTCTTTCCACCACCCCAGCAAACAGGGTCCGTGGTCTCCTCCAACTCTGTGGTGCCTCCAGAATCTCATGTTTTGTCCGGGGCTAGAGAGGTGCTCTGCCTGACCCGTATGTCACAGTCTCTTCAGACCCAAGACCTGAAGGCTGGGACAAGCCCTGCTTCTCAGCAAGGGACCATTATGGAACCTTAATGTCAAAGCCACCCATAATGACATCTTAAGTTTACTGAACAGAGATCTGCCTGGAAAACGGTTTTAAGGACCTGTTTGAATAAGCCTCATACTCCATTTTCAGAAAATTCTTCCGTAAATGATTGACGACACAAAATGAAAATGCTGCCAGTTGGATGTCGATCACATGTTGCAAACCACCTCTCTAGCTCGAAGGTCACCGATGTCTCCATTAATATTCAGGACACGGATCTCCTAAGTTTGCTCTTGGGACATTTGAGAAAATAGCCTGATTTTTTAAAGTGTTTTTTTGTTTTGTTTTGTTAATCCTCACCCGAGGATATTTTTCCATTGATTTTTTTTTTTTTAGGGAGAGTGGAAGAGAGAGGGAAAATCAGAGAGAAACATCATGTGAGAGAAACACATCAACTTGTTGCCTCCCACACGAGCCCAGACCAGGGCCCAGGCCGGGGAGGAGCCTGCAACCGAGGTACTTGCCCTTAACTAGAATTGAACCCGGGACCCTTTGGTCTGCAGGCTGATGCTCTATCCACAGAGCCAAACTGGCTAGGGCTATAAAAGTATTTTTATTGAGGTATAATTTATATACAGTGAAATGCTCAGATCTAATGTGCAGAGTTTGATGATTTTGGTAAATATATACATGGTGTCACCATCACCCCAATCAAGACAGAAAACATTTCCCTCACCTAGAAAATTCCTTCTCCCCTCTTTCCAATCAATCCCACTGTTGTGACTACCATCACCATAGACTGTTTTTAACTTTTCTAGGGTATCTGTTTCAGATTGAATGTTTGTGTCCCTCCAAAGTTCATATCGCCAGGGCCCAGGTCAGGCTGTTCCAAGACATTCCACTGCGGCATAGGAATTATTTCAAACTAAAATCGCCCGAGAAGCAGCCAGAGCAAGAAGAGCTCACTGGCTCTCCTCTGTCCCTTTAAAAATAGTAACTAAATCTCCATGACAGGTGCCTTTTCTAGCCCTGAAGGCCTGAGACACAACTTTATCTTATAAAATCCAGGATAGAAAAGGTGTGTCTAAGTAAATCTTATAATACCTTGACTAGTTTACTACCTGGGCCCAGACTTTGTTTAGATTCCTCACTTACAAACAACCAAAGCTGCTTAGACTCCTTTCTAGTAAGCACTAACTTCCTTTGTCCTGTCAGTGGCTCACACACTTATTGTTTCTTTATCTAAAAAGTATAAAAAAGTGCCTAGTTTAATCACCTTTGGAGCCTCCTTTTATGATCTGAGCATCATACTGATTCTCCTGTGCACAGGTATTAAAATTGTTTTCTTTCTTCTGTTAGTCTAGTCTTGTGTCAATTTTATTATTTAATAACTAATCCAGCCGTAAGAACTGAAGAAAGGAAGAGTGGGAAATTCTTTTCCGCTGCCCCAAAATACGTTGAAACCTCACCTTCCAATGTGAGAGTATTAGGAGGTGGGGCCGTTGGGAGGAGTTTAGGTCATGAGGAGGAAGCCGTCACAAATGGGATTAAACGAGGGATCCCGGAGAGCTCCTCTGCCTTTTTTGCTCTGTGAGGACACACTGAGAAGACAGCCATCTATGAACCAGGAAGACGGCCCTCACCAGACGCCGAATCTGCCTGCCCCTGGATCTTGGACTTCCCACCTCCAGAAATACATTTCTGTTGCTTATAAGTCACCCAGTCTATGGTATTCTGTGAAGCAGCCCAAACTAAGTCGGTGTCATATAAATGAAATGAAACAGTACATGATCTCTTGTGTCTGGCTTCTTTCACTTAGCGTAATATCTGTGAGATTCATCTACTAGTATGTTGTCACATGTACACGCAATCCAGTCCCTTCCTGTTTATTGCCAAAGAGTTTCCTATGGTACGTAGGTTCCACAGTTGGTTTAGCCATTCATCTTTTGATAGACATGTGGGCTTTTGCAGTTTGGGGCTGTTAAGAATAAAGCTGCTATGAACATTTATGTGCGAGTCTTTGTGTGGGGTGGATAGAAGTTTCATCTGTCTGGGGTGAAAACACCTAGGCATGGAACTCCTGGGTTATGAGTGTATGTTTAACTTTATAAAAGATTTGTGGCTTATTTTTTTATGTCACCTTCCCGAGAGGATGTTTAGAAATCAGCTTGTAAAGACCACACCAAAACAACCTCCCTGGAGGGGAGATGGTAGCAGAGAGGGGGCCGCTCTTATTGAAAAAGAGCTGTTTTTCAATAGCTTCTGTATTAACTAATTCCTGAGTGGGTTTCATAATTGGTGCTAACTTTGGACTACATCCAAGAAAATGATTTATTCACATTACTAATGGAAATGGACTACGCAGGGCAGCAGGACTGAAACACACGGAAGGTTATTTACGCTAAAATGTTGGTGAAGCCTCTTGGAATTTTGCCTTAAGCTCAACCAATTACAATTTAGCAGGGTGATTTATTGAGAATATAAACGATGGAAAGGTCACCCTTTGAAAAGCGAATCTGAGTTCTGAATTTTCACTGTTGTAGACTCCTGTCCTACCCCAGGAAAGATAAACAAGCTTTTCTGTGACTTGAGGGCCTTCACTCGCTGCCAGATATAGCATCAAACCATATTGTACAAGAAAGCAGCACAGAACACATTTGTGTTTGGGTGACTGAACAGAAGTAAGGGCTCTGACCTTGGTTGGACCTCTGGGAACTGGAGCAGAAGGGTCTGACCACAGCTGGTCCTGGGGTTGGGGGTAGCGGGGGGAAAGTCTGGAACCCTTGGAAGCCCTGCTTCTCTTGGCGAGATCTCAGAGGAAATGGTAGGGTAGCTAGTGAGGCCAGGAACTAGGAATTCTGGCTTAGAAAGCCCATGAGAGAGGCTATACTAACATAGTCCCTACCTGGAAAGTGAGGCCATCAAAAGTAGGAAGCCAGGGCAGGAGACTGCAATTAAAAAAAAAAAAATTATTATTTTAATATATCTTTATAGATTTCAGAGAGGGAGAGAGATAGAAACATCAATGATAAGAGAGAATCATTGATCGGCTGCCTCCTGCACACCCACCATTGGGGATCAAGCCCACAATCCCAGCATGTGCCCTGACTGGAAATTGAACCATGATCCTGGTTCATAGGCCGAAGCTCAACCATGGAGCCACACCAGCAGGGCGAGACCAGCACAGCAGCATCAGCGGGCCCCTGAGAGCTCTCGGGGGACCAAGGCCACTGATACTGCATTTCCTGCAAATGTTGGTTGTCCTCTGTGGTAGGATGAGCCATTGCTCACCATTCTTCAGACACTTCCTGTATTAGAATTTTACACTCACACCCTTTGTCATGTGACATTGCAGTGTTCCCTAGTAGTGTGAGCGGAGGACAACTTCTGCCACGGATATTGGAGTGGCCATGTGCCTTGCTTTGGTCAGTGGAATGTGGACAGGAGTGACTCAAGAGGCCTTAAGAGGCATCCTGTGCTCCTGCAATTTTATGAAAAGAACATGTTCTAGTAGGGCTGGTCCAAGGAAAATATGGAGATACGTAGACTTGAGCCAACTTGAAGCTTCAGTCCTAGCCCAACAAACTTGTAGCCTTAAGCAGCGTTTTCCCTGCCAACCGACAGACCTAAGAGCAAGAAAAGAAATGCTCATGGTTGTATGTCATTGAGCTATGTGTTGTTTGCTATACAGAATCATTATAGCATTTGCTGACTGATATTCATACTGTTCTCCCCACTTTCATAACAATAAGAACCTCAAATTTTAACTGCCTATTTGGAATAAGGCTAGATTCCCCAGCCTTCCTACAGCTAGGTGTGGCCATATAACTGAATTCTGGTCAATGAGATGTTAGCAGAAGTGTTGTGTGACAGCTTCTCAGAGCCTCCCTTAAAGGCCTGTGGCATGCACTGTCCATCCCTTCCTGCATCTTGCTATCTGGAGAAGGAGTTGATGGCTGGAGCTCTTGTTGAGATTTTGGGTCCTGAGGAAGAAAGCCATAGCCTAGGGAAGATGGAGCAGTGAGCTTCCTAGGCTATTCCATAAGAGACAAATAAATTGTGTTTCTTAAGCCTCTTTATCTTTAACATTCCCCAGCTGAGCTTACTCCTGACACAATCCTCAAGCCAGGTATTCCTGATCCTGATAAAGCATTGTGACATTGCTTCAGACGCAGACTATTGTGCAGCAATGATCAAGTGCTATTACTAATCCACTTTTCTATACCAATCTAAATGGGTATATCACTACACAGATTGAAAAATAAACCTCTCGGGGGAAGAATAGGAAGTGACTGATAAGGGTACAGACGATAAGAATGTTCTAATGCGAGATAGCGATGCTGGTTGCACAACCCTGTGAGTATAAAAAGCAATGAAAGAGTATACTTTCAAGGGGTGAATTTTATGGTCTGTGAATCATAAACTATGAGAACATCAATGGCCTGTTCACTGTTTCCACCACTGTGAGGCAGGTACTAGTATTTCCCTATGTCACAGTACATGAAATAAGACTCAGAGGGCTCCCAGTTCACTCATGAATGTCAGGGAGAAGACTGGAACTCAGGTCTCCTGACACCGGCACACATGCTGCTCTCACCCCATCCCTCTAGTGTGTTCCCCAGTCCCCACCCCACCCCACTCCCACCAGGGGGCCACCGGGAGACTGCACACAGGACTATTTAGACAACACTGAGCTATGGGTTCAGCTTGTTTTTCAGCTCTTCTTTCTAGCACCTTCTCCCCGGGTGCCCTCTTCTCTCTAGTCACTCTCTGTCATACGCCAACTACCCTGGCTATTCAGGGCCCCTGCCCACTCTCTTTGACAAGCATTCTTGCCAAGAAGTATAAAATGTATTTGACTGATATAAACCACCATTTAGGGTGGGTCAAAAGTAGGTTTACAGTTGTACGTGAAACACAGTTTATCCTTGTATTATTTTGTATTAATTATTGTATTATTTTCCATATGAACAACCATAAACCTACTTTTGCCTCGCCCTGTATAACACAACTGCAAGCAGTTTTTCCCACGTTACCGCAACTCTCGAATGCCCCTCCCCACTCTTAGGATGGCTAGAGGTGTCAGGCACCTTCCTCTGGAGCTCCCGCATTTTGGGACGTTCAACTGACAGCAGCACACAGCTATGGGAGGTCTCCTGTGAACCAGCCACTTTGAAGAATGCTTGAATGCGTTCTCAAACTCCCCAGCAATCCATAGAACACGAGCACATCGAGGAGCACATTCCACAGATAAGGAAACTGAAGCTCAGAGAGGTTAGGTAATCTACCCAAGTTCTCACACATAGTGAGTGGCCAAGCCAAGGTGAGGAGCTGATTGGCTGTACTTGTTGTAATGTACCCCGCGAATCACAGAAGGACGCCTCAAGAAGTCGAATTAAAGAGTCACATTTATTGCAATCCGGGACTATGAGGGGGCATTCCCAAATCTCATAGCCCTAGGATGGTGGCAAAACCAGACTTATATAGGCAAAAATCACAAAGGTATTGATTACATCCCAGGGTTTGGAATGAGACACCTGGCTCACAAAAAAGCAGATTACAGATGCAGAATTAAGCATGTTAATTACAGTTTCGGGTCTCGGGGTCACTGAATTGACAGAAATACATTATCTAGAGCCCTTGGGTAACCTGGGTTAAACTTAGGCATGTTATCTAAATTACAGTTTTGGGTCTCCGGATCACTGAGTTGATAGAAACACATTATCTAGAGCCCTCGGGTCTCCCGACCACTGAGTTGTCAGGACAATTTAGAGTAATTGTGCTGTCCTGGTCTCGGGACCACTGAGGCAGCTGGAACGCACCACCTGTGGCCACTAAAACAATTTAGGGTAATTGTGCTGTCCTGTTTCCAGGTACAGTAGAATGTGCTCTCTAAGACCAGTATGATAACAATCAATGGAATAGTCATTCAATCGATAAGTCATTCAATCGAATGGGATGACTTATACAATTTAGAAAATCAAAGTAACCTGTCCATTGTTAAACAAAGCAAATAGGTACCATACTTCATACTTAGTTCATGTGCTCCAGCTGCCAGAGGTCAAGGGGAGTGTCAGGTTCAAGCCCCTCTGCCAGGGACTGGACCTCCTGGATGGACCTCCTGGGATGCCGGGTATTCAACGGAGAAGACATAAGAAGTCATGGGTATATAAGAGAGTCTTTACTGTAGGAGCCAGTGGCCATGAAGCCATTGCTACGACAGGACCTATAAGACAAAGCAGTTCTCCAAAGCAAAGTCCCCTCCAGTAGCGGTACACCAGCGCGGTAACAAAGCATCTTTCCTACAAAGTAGCAGCAGCCTCTAACATAGGAGCCATGCAGGAGCCATCCTTAGAGCTACAGCCTCACGAAGCAGCCGCCTCCAAGCCCGCTACCTGCTGGTCAGGGTCATACTTTAACACTGACTTAGACGAAAGAGGCTTCTTCCCAAATAGTGAACTCACTATTTTGCGGTATAGAAGGTCAGGCCTGCGCAGTGTACGTACAGTAAGATAGCTGTGTCCTTGCTTCTTGCACCTGCGTAAGAGCTGTAGCCTAAGGGGAAATCAGCCGCTGCTGGGAGGCGGCAGGAAACAAACACCCTGACCTCACCCGCCTCCTCCCTCCAGCGCCTTCCATGGCTGAACCTGACCACAAACCAGGGCAAAGTGGCCTGGATGATGCAATTCATAAAGGTCGGCATTGCAGGACACCAGGCCTGGCTGAGGAAGGTGGGGAGGGGACCTGGAGGGGCAAGCAGCGTTTATCCCACACAGTACCATCCGGTGAAGCTACGTGCCCTGCGGGCCTCAGAAAGCTGACTGTCTTGTTATGAGCATACACGAGCCATCCTGGGCACTCCAGAAATCGTGGGGGCACTGGCACTTTGCAGGGGTGAATGTGGGAAGAACTTGAGAAAGAAGGACATAAATATAACCTCATTTGTACCTATGAGGCCTGGGAAAACTCACATACTTTATTACCAAAGCCCAGCTCCTCTGAGGTTGGCAGTGGAGGGAGAATGCCCTGGTTGCAGGAGCAGAGTTCCAGCAAGGCTTGTTTTGCCCATGGAGACCTCTTTTTCTTTTTTTCTTTTTTAATATATATTTTATTGATTTTTTTACAGAGAGGAAGGGAGACGGATAGAGAGTTAGAAACATCAATGAGAGAGAAACATTGATCAGCTGCCTCCTGCACACTCCCCACTGGGGATGTGCCCGCAACCAAGGCACATGCCCTTGGCCAGAATCGAACCTGGGACCCTTCAGTCTGCAGGCCGACGCTCTATCCACTGAGCCAAACCGGTTAGGGGCTTGTGGAGACCTCTTCATCTCCTTCACTCTTGTTACCAATGGCAACCGTGGGGCGTATGGCTTCTTACTGCCCTTCATACCTGCAATACTGCGGTGTGGTTCTGATACCAACTCTCCGGACTCCACAGGTGAAGGCCACAGTCTCCAACAAAACTGTCATGCCCCACCTGGCCACAGTTCAGGGGTCCTCAGGCCACCCACACTCTGAACAACTGGCTATACATTTGGGAGTTTAAGGTACCTCTCTTCCCAGGTGGCCCATGAGTCTCTAGCCACTTCCGTGCTTGTCCCTCAGATGTAGGAGAGGTCCCGGCTTCCTGCTCTCCCCTCAGGATGTTGTTTCACTAGAATGACTCACAGGACTCAGAAAAGTGCTATACGTACAATTTGGGTTTTATTATAAAGGATACAAATCGGCACAAGCCAGATGAGGAGGCCCATAGGGAGAAGTCTGGGAGGGTCCTGAACTCAGAGCTCCCAGGTCCTTCCCATGCCGAATCCAGGCTACAGCGTCCTTCCAGCACAGCGATGTGGTCACCTGCCAGGAAGCTCGCCCAAATCCCAGTGTCCAGATTTTCCGAGTTTCCTTGGGATTTCATTGCAAGGCATGGTTAATTGAGTCACTGGCCACATGA